CTCCACCTCTCTCATGGAGGGGATGCCCGTCAACTGAAGCACAAAGGCATGACCATGCCAAGACAGAATCTGAGCCTGCAGCCCGGGCCCCCAGGGCTCGGGCCCCCAGGGCTCGGGCCATCAGCTGCACAGAGGAAGCCTCAGTGAGGCCTCTCCCAGGTGGAGGCTGTTCACCAGCATCTAGCCAGCCCCTACCTCCCGGACAGGGCGCCCCAAGTCAAGTGCCATCATGGGCTGCCAGGCAGGGGCACAGAGCAGGAGCAGAGGGGCCGCGACCCTCTCCCCGGGAGGCTAAGTGGAGAGACAGACAGGGAGAAGCTGTGCCTATTAACACATCAGTTTCTGCATGAACTCCTCCAGGGGGCCAGGCGGGCAGAGGTGGAGGGATGAGGACCTCAAGACGAGTAGGATTTTTTTAAAGAAATATTCAGTTATTAAAACCCAGGCTCTCTGGCCACACTGGACCTGCATACCAAGTGGGCCTGGTGAACTGTCAGCAGCATGGGGGAGACGGATACTGGGCGGCACCCAGACATCAGGGCAGCGAGCAGGCATGCTGCGGAGGGGCTACGGGAGCTCTAGACCGTAGGCCACGGCAGCCAGACTGCAACCCCCGCCCCATGGGTGCCCAGGACTGGGACCTGCCTGTCTGAATCCTGTAGCATTCCTGTCTACGTGGAATGAAGCACAGGGGAGAAATACTGGGCTAAAAAGAAGCAAACCCAATTTCCAAGCTGACTTTGAAACCAGCCCCCACCCCCCGCCTTGTCCAGGCTCCCACCTCGCCAGCCTTTACTGAGGGCCGGCTCTGTACCAGGTACAGGGTTGGGGGCTTCTGAGCCTCAGCACCGCTCACACCTCGGCTGCAAGTCTCTGCCGGGGATGCTGTGCACCGCAGTTGTGGGCACCATCCCAGCCTCTGCCCACCAGACACCAGCAGTACCACCCCTCCCCAGCCCCGAGTGAGCTGCCACGAGGCCCAGGGCTCCCGATAACTAGGGCGGGGCTGGGGACAGCGTGTGGGATCCGCTCCTCCTTGAGTTCGGTGCAGAGATCCACGTGAGGGCAGCACACGTGGCTGTGCAGGAAGCAGGGCTGTCACCTCCTCAGGGGGCCTTCTGTAGACCACCCCCATGCACATCCCAGCCCTACCGCCATCACTGTCTTACATGGCGGTCGGTGCTGGTCTGCGTGCTTATCACCTGCCTTGCCAGGGCTCCAGAGGGGCCTGGCTCCTAGCTGTCCTCACACCTCCTGTCCCTGGAACTGCATCAACGGGAAGGCCAGGCTTCAAGGCCTGGAAACGACTGTACTCTCCCTGCCCCCACCCTAAGCCCGTTTGCCCATCTATGAGAGGGGTAATGAGGGCTAGGGCATGATCCTGAAGCCACAGTGGAGGGGAGGATGGCTGAGGGCAGTGCCGGTGAGCATGAGGCATGCACGCCAGCCCAGGGGCCTTGCCAGGCCACGGGCTGCACGGATGACACCCCCACAACCCCCGTCCCACTGACTTGGGCAGAATCAAGGTCCTAGGCACAACAGAATTTCATCCAAAGGTAGTCTACTGCATCTGGGGACCCGCAGGCTTCGAGGCTCCCCACTGCTGCCCCCTCAGGCTTTCATCCCCTAGAGGGGACGAGAGAAAGGGAGAGTTTCAGGGCCTCGGCCCGGAGGCCAGCAGAGCACAGGGAGACTGAGCAAAGGCTCCCGGTCACTGGTGCAGGCTTTCAGCTGCCCTGAGGCCTGAAGCACAGCAAGGCCAGTGGGAAGTGTGCACAGCCCACTGTAGTTTTTTGGATTTTTGTAGTTTTGATTTTGTTTTGTTTTGAGAGATTTCTGCTGTAGGATGCATGTGCTGACCAGAGAGACAGAGATACAGAAAGTGAGAAATTGACCCCAGGGGGATGGCCACACCTCAATCCCTTTTCCTCCATTCTCTTCTGGGGATCTTGGGCATGCACGCACATGTGCCCAGCATGAATTTTAAGCCACCAGGCCAGGACTCAAACCATAGTCAACCACATGGGAGTCCAGTGCCTTAACCACTGTGCCACCTGTTCCCCCCCCCCAGACTGTGGTTTTAAAGGGCCCAAGGAGTGGGGCTGGTACATGCTCAATGTGAGGTGGTCAGGGGTGGGACAGAGTGGCTGTCCTTCCTTCCCGTGTGGACCAGTGTAAAGACCCCTGGCTAGCAGTCAGAGGAGCAGCCATGAATTCAAATTTGTTGCATGACCTCACAGTCTCAAGCTCTGAGCTATGCATCTGACAGTTCTGACTTTAGGATGGGTGATACAAGTCTGCCCTCAGCCCTAGGGACGCAGGTACACGCGACTCAAGCCAGTCCCTCCTGGCAGTGAGCAGCTCACAGCTCTCTGGCCTTGCTCTCAGCATCTAGGCTGGGGTCAAGGGTGGGATTTCTAAAGCCGTGTCCCAGAAGGCATGAATATTGGGCATCTGGTTGACCTCAGATGGACCCCTGGGCCCCCCAAACCTTCCTTCCCAAGGTGGAGAAAAGACCATGACGCGGCCCCTTATCCTCAGACACTAGAGCTGAAACATGTGAAGCATTGCCATGTATTAATAACAGAATAAGGTGGGGCCCACGTACCCCAAAATCTTCCCTCCTGATGTTCCTGTGGTAATTACCTGTCCCAATTAAAGCTGAAGCCACAGAGGCCCGGCAAGTTTGCATGGGCTCGTCACACAGAGAGTTTCCACCAACGAAAACCTGATCAAGAGAGACTGCACACTCAGCCCGGTGGCTTGGCTCGGCCCAGGGAAGAAGGGAAGGACGCAAGAAAAGTGGAAGCACGAGTTCATGAAGCACCTGCAGCATACCAGGCGCTGCGGAAGGCCCTCCCGAACGCCACAGTGAGCACTCCCCAGGGTTCGGATGCAGCGGCCCCTCGCCTTTCGGCCCTCTGCGCCCACCCCCACAGACCAGCCACCTGGTGGCCCAGACACAGGTAAGGACCTGGCGCTCTCCAGTAATGACGCAGACAACCTTATTTAAAAGTCACCGCTGCGCACCATTTGAGGCACTTACCTCTCACACCCATCCCTCTCCTCAGTTCAGTTTTATAGTCAGTAATAACTGCCATAAATTCCTCGACAGATGGAAATTTTATTTCCCTAATCACGGCTTCCTGGGGTACAACACCTAAGGGCTCAGGTTGGCAGGGTGCCACAGAGGTGACTGTCAGGGGGCTGGGCATGGCACCAGGACCCAGGGCCCCCTAGAGGGTAGGGGGGCCTTCCGAGGGAAGCCACAGAAAGTATCAGTTCTCCAGCGCTGGGCCGCAGGGGGCAGCCTGCCCCATCTTCTGGGTCCAGGATGCCTCTGGACAGGGAACTGGGACCTCTTCCCAACCCTCCGGTGCTTGGTCTTTGGACGCCCAGGGGCTGGTACCAGTCAGAACTGGGCCCTCCCGGCTGCAACACTAATGAAAAGTCCTGGAGGCTGCCGGCCGTGGGGCTCCGACTCCATGCCAGCCCCATGCCCTATGCAGGGTCCCATTCAGTCCTGCCAGCAACCCTATGAAGGCACAGAGAACCCCCATCTCCTAGATCGGGAAATACTAGGTTGTCGGGAAAGTCAGGGCATATTTTTCTGTTTCTCTGTGCAGAAATGCATCAGAACTTTCTCAGCTACCCCATAGAGAAACAAAATCACATGACTGGAGTCGCTAGCCCTCATGTGGAGAACTGAAAGTTGGTGTCTCCCATCCCAATCACAGACGTCCAAGCAATCCTTCTGAGATCTGCACCGAACCCATCGCTGTTATTAAAAAAGAAAAAAAAAATGCCCACAGATGGCATGGAAGTTAAGGCACTGGATCCCACATAGTTGAATGCACAGTTCAAGTCTCAGACCCGGCTACTTGAAAAACACACTGGGTGCATGTGTGTGTATATGCCCCGAATCCCAGGAGAAAGGAGGGGCAGGGATGGCTGCATAGCCATCTCCTGAGGGGCTGATTTCTCACTTTTCTTACCTCTCCCCCACCGCCCCCCCCCAAAAACCCCCCGCCCCTTCTCCCTGCATGCATGGCACTATAGCAAACAAAAAATAAATAAATAAACCCACAAAACTTGTAGCAGTTGTCACCACCCTCTAGACAAAGTTTTTAAGACCATTAGCTTGGCCTTCGCAAAAGAAGCCCATTCAGGTATTTAGCCAAAAGACCCGAAGCCTTGTCCATAGAGTATTCTTGTCAAGAACAGACAGCAGATTATTCCTAATAGCCCCAATATGAAATATCGACATGAAAAATGCATCAACAAACTGTAGCCTTTGTGAGGGGACCACAGAAAGCTCTGGGAAAATGGGATCCAAATAGGAGTTTATTTTGATGTAAAACAATTTTGAAATCCAAGTGTAATTTTTTTCATAATATACATTTCCCATGAACTTTTTGACAACTTATTTGGCCTGCATCCTATCAGGAAAAAGAAACAGAGGGTAATCTGAACAAGCGAAGTTTCACAGCAAGATCATTAACTATTGCAGGAGACTGAATTAACAAAGAACTGGCTAGAAAGTCAAGAAAAGTCTAGAAAGTCAAGAAAACACAAAAGGAAGTGAGTTTAGCAAACAAAAGCAGAGACCCCAGGGCAGAAAGAGAGCTGGCAAGGAGGGTTCCCCACCCCCAGTGCAGAGATTACAGTGCTGAGGGGCGAGGGACATCAGGAACCCCTACCCGGGGCTGAACCAGGGTCCTCAAAGACCAGGCTCTTGCTCCTATGCTGAAGGAGAGCTCCCAAAGGAGAGCCCCCCAAAGAAGAGCTCCCCACATGGGCTGAGAGTACCCAAGGAAGAGGCCCCCAAACTGAGGTACAGCCCCCTGCAAGGAAGTGCCCCCCAACACACACTCCCTTCAGGCCCACTCCAGGTCTTGTTGGAAAGGGCACGGCTGGAGCTCCCCGCACAGCAGCATGGGGGGAGTCGGCCTGGTGCCACACTGGTGGAACTTGCTAGAAATCCAACCTGTGGAACTTACCAGAAGCCTGCCACACAAACTGCTACAGAAGCTGTCTCACCAGAGGCGCCCCGCTGCAAAAGGGCCTCCCGGAGGTGCTGGGGAAGCTGCTGGCCTGCACTGTGCACGGCAGGGGCCTGCTGGGCCTGGGACGCTGCACTGCTACAGGAGCCTGCTGGAGCACACTGCAAGCAGGAAGCAGGACCTCCCCTTCCCTGCTGTGGGCTCTGGCTCGCAGCGCCCTCTAGTGACAAAGCCCAGCTTTGCAGCTGGCCCCAGGGAAATTTTAAAGGGCCCAGATCCACTTTCTCCAACAGGCAAAAAAGGTGACTTTGGCACAGATAACCAGCTTCCATACAAACCCTCTACATACAGTTGAACTCCTATACAACAAGACAATTCTATGCCCACCAAAAAAGATACACCTCTCGTTTTACAAAAAAAAACTTCACCTTTTCCATGAAATGAGATGAATAGGGCCATGAATCACCTTGACTACATTTGTTACCATTCAAACTCAGCCCCTTTCCATGGAATATTCTGTCACCTAAAGACTAGATTGTAAAGCCGACCTCTAAACACTTGCCTATAAAATAAAAATAGGAAGGAGAGACAAAAAAAGTTCGCTGCTATGTGTGCTTAATCTCATTATTCATTCAGAAACTGCAGAAATAACCCCAGAGTGGGCTTGGACTGAGCAGGAGCAGTGGAGTCAGACTGAGCTAAGGCTCTTTCTATTACCTGACCACCATACGTCCCCGCTTTGATATATGGGCCACAGTGGCATTTTAGGTCCTCCAAACTAGTGCCACTCCTTCCTTGGGGAACCCAGCTTTCCTATGGATTCTGGGTCTGTGAATTGACGTAGGCCTGGAAACCGGATGAGGGGCTACCTACGGTGGTGACTCACGTCTGGCTTTGCCTACCAGACTGAGAGTTTTTCGTATTACATGAGAGTACCTCAAAAAGTTCATAGAGGGACCAGTAGTTAGCATAATGGCTATGTCGCTGGACTCCCATGTAGTCGACCACAATTCGAGTCCTGGACCCAGCAGCTCAAACTCATGTCAGGCGTGTGTGCGTGAGTACCCAAGATCCCAAGAGGAGAAAGGAAGAGAAGGGATTGCGGCGTGGCCATCCCCCCTGGGGGGTGATTTCTTGCTTGCTGTCTCTCTGTCTCTCTCTGTCTTTCTGGTGAGCGCATGTGCCCTGTAGCAAAAACCTCTCCAAAAAGAAAAAGAAAAAGAAAGAAAAAAAAAAGTTCATAGAAAAATGGAATGAAAGTATGAGTTTAGAGGCCAGGGGGTGGCACAGCAGGAA